GAGAGACAGAGAAACATTGACTGGCTGCCTCCCACACGCACCCTGACTGGGGCCAGTGATCGAACCTGCCACCCAGGAACGTGCCCTTGACCAGCAACATTGGCCCTTCCGTTCATGGGCCGATGCTCTGACCACCGAGACACACCGGCCAGGGCTTTGTGCATATTGAGAAAACTGCCCAGAGAGGTTACCTCCAGGGAGAGGGCTAGAGATCTGCTTTTTAACAATGTTTCACTTTTTTGAAGAACAATGTATCAATGTATTACTTGTATCCTTTCTTAAAGGACCAACAGATACAAAATGACTAGAAGCAAATTCGCTCAAATGTTAACTGTGGTGAATCATTATGGTGAACAGATCAGTGATCACAGTTGCCTTCTGTGAATCTCTGTTTTCAAAATAAAAAATAGACGTTTAGATGGTTCTTTCCGGAAATGGCAACTTTGTGGTATCAGCAAAGACAAATCTTTGGTGGGGCCCTTGGTGGGGGGGGGGGAGAGTGCTTCTAAAGTTGAAGAATTTAAAAGGGCTCTGGTTTCTCTTTGCTTTATGTTCACTTGTAACTGTGACGTCAGCTGTGAACGTACAGATGAGAAGTGTGGCCGTCAGGTGGGGTGACTGGAAAGGACAGTCCCCCAGGGCTTCTGCCGGTGTCCGTGAATGGAATACACGTTGGTGGTATTTTTACTTTCACCCCCGAGGCCCAGTGTCCTCATGAGGACCTGGTGCGACTGTAGGTGGGTGAGCCTCGGGTGGGGTGGGAGGGGTTGTTTGGGGGTGACCTGGAAGGACATGGGGCCTGAGGGCTGCAACTCTGGACAGCAGCTTTGGATGGAGGTGGGTTTTCATGCCAAAGGGTCTGCTGTCCCCAGGGAGATGGGGGCGTCTGGCAGAGAGCATAGCCAGGGCCTCGGAAGATGCCAGTTCAGAGCATCACTAATAACGTCAGAATAAAAGAGACTTGTAGCCCAGCTGGTGTGACTCAGTGGTTGAGCTTCATCCTGCGCACCAGTAGGTCACTGGTTCCATGCCCAGTGAGGGCACGTGCTGGGTTGCAGGCTGGATCCCCAGTAGGGGGCGTGCAGGAGGCAGCCCACTGATGTCTCTATATCCTGCTCCCTTCCTCTCTCTCTAAAATCAATAAAAACACGCCCCCCTCCTTCAGTCTAATTTCCCCAGGACCTTGAGCACAGCCAGGAGCCCGGCTGTGTTACTATTTATAGAAACCTCCATCCACCTATTGAGGGCATGAAGGCCACCTCAATTAGAGGGCGACCTTGAAATTAACGGGGCATTGAATTAGGTGAACCCAGCCACGGGGACATAAACCACACCTTCTGCTGTGCAAAGTGTGGCCGGGAATGAACACCCATGAAAGTCACACCCCCCCCTGGAGCCACAGAGGCGTGACGATGCCTGTTAGGGAGAGGAGTGGGCCCTGCGTGGCGTCGCCTCTGCATGGCCCTGATGATCCACTTCCCGGGGAGCCAGTGGGAATGAAGACATCGGCCACGGAAGGCAGGCCACGCGATGCCGATCACAGTGAGTGTGTGGGAAACCCTGTGGCCTGGGGTGTCTGCGTGTAAGCAGAAAAACTCCCGTGCCTAAGTAAGATACCGGCTTTTTTATGGTGTTTTACTTTTATTTATTTTTAATATGTTTTTATTGATTTCAGAGAGAGGGAGAGAGAGAAACATCCATGACGACAGAGAGTCATTGATCAGCTGCCTCCTGCACGCCCCCTACTGGGGATCGAGCCCCCAACCTGGGCATGTGCCCTGACCGGGAATCGAACCAGCCACCTCCTGGTTCATAGGCTGACACTCAACCACTGAGCATCGCTGGCTGGATTAGGGTGTTTTACTTTTTAAAAGCCAAATGCATTGACAGATGGCCCGAATCCTTTCTTAAGGTTCACGTCTAGAAAAAAAGGGACCCAGAATTCTATGCCCCGGGAGCCTATCTTTCAGAAATGAAAGAGAATCGTTCCTCAGACAGACAGACAGACACGGGGGAAGTTAACGAGATGCAGACGGAAACTTGGTCTACACCCAGAAACGCCAAGGGGGAAAGATAAAGGTACACAGGCAACTGTTATTTTCCTGTTTGTGATTGCTCTAGAGGATCCCTAATTAGCTCAAGCAAGATTCCTGGCAACGTGTGGTGCTTCAAGGGGAGGGCAGCGATAAAAGGGCCGGTTTCCCCAGATGTCTTAACCCGAAGCATCTTCGCTCTGAGGTCGCGGGGCCTCTGCTGAGCTGCCCAGTGTTCGGAAGGTGACCCTGGGCATTCAGAGGCCGTGTCCTGACAAGTCCCCATGTGGCAGAGTGACACCTGTCCCAGCACCTCCTCCAGGTCCTGCCCGTGTCCTGAGTCACTCCCCGAATGCACTGAGGAAGCAACTGCGTGGCCTCCAGAGACGGGGACCCAGGTCAGGACGTGGACTGGCGAGTGACAAGCACGGGCCTGGATACCTGGCCCCCGGCGGCACCCCTCCCACCCCCCTCACCCAGGGCCGTCCTCGCAGACGGTACCTGAAGTCCAGGAAGGCGCAGTACAGGAACACCTGGCTGGTCTTGTTGGCGGCCTCCCGGTGCTGCTTGCTCGTCTGAAACGAGAGCACGAGACGCTTCGTGAGGCCAGGTTCCCGGCACGGACGTGGGAGCCGAGCCCCCAGGCCGAGGGGCAGAGGGGCTGTGGGTTGGTGATGGGAAAAGCCGCTGACTTCCCATCTCACTGGTCCTGGTGAGAGGGCCGGGGCTCAAGCCTCAGGGCCTTTGCACGTGCTGTGCCCGACCTTCAGAATTCTCCCCCCCCCAGACAACCTCGCTTCCTCTAGGTCTCTGCCAAACGTCAGTCCGTCAGTGAGACCTGCCCATTCAGAGCAACGCCCGCCCTGCGCTGCCCACCCTCCCTGGCATTCACGTTTCCTGTCAGGTGACGACCAACGTGGATCTGAGACCGGCTGGGAGCTGAGAGACGCTTCCCCCTCCATCCCCTGTCCGGCTGTGAGCCTGCTGTGACCCGGTGCTCACCCACGGGGAGCCCTGTGTCTGCAGCCACTTAGACCACAGAAGGTCACCGGTGGGGAAACTGAGGCACGAGTAGCCCACAAAATCGAGGCTACACATAGAGGCCCAGCGGGGACCCACGGCCTGCAGCACGGACGGCTTTCACGTGTCCCTGTAACAAGCAGGTGCGTGTCTGTGTGTTGCTCGGAGCTCGTGAAAGGAATGTGAACACCAGCCAGGCCTGGGGGGAGCCAGCACCCGGCTCACACCCGTGGGAGACACCCCGGCTGCCAGGACTGCCTTCCTCTACGCTCTGCCTCCCCCATGACCTCGTGACCTTGGGCGAGGCTGAGCCCACGCCCTAGACAGAGGAATTTTAAAATCAGTCCCGGCCACAACAAGCCCAGCATCTGTGTGTGGTCAGAGGGTGGAGGGCAGGCGGCGATCACCGGGCGGGCCGAGGTCACACCCCAGCCGGGAATCTCTGCCCCTGCAGGCCCAGGCCCCCCCGGCCGGCTCCTTCCGTGGGAAACTCAGGCTCCTCCACATGTGTTTGGCGCTGGGACCTAACTGGGACGTGAGGTTGCAGGAGGAGCCCAGAAGGTTCCTGGGAGCGTGACCTGGATGGGGCGGCTGTGAACATTCGGGGTGTGGTGCTGCGGGGAGGGGGGACGCGGGGAGTCACTCCATCGCTGTCCTGGGGAAACTGGACACTGTCCTGGGGAAACTGGGAGGCACCACTGCCCATCAGCCCCGTGGGCACCTGGGAGGGAGACGAGGGCCGTCCCATTAGTCAGCCGGTGGCCGGGGACCAGGAAACGGGGGTGTCACCATCAGGGTGCAGGGAGGGGACATTCACCTTGAAGCTGAGTCCTGAAGCTGAGGGACCAGGCCGGACCCC